TTATTTTAGGTGTCTTCAACTCAAATTGCTGAACATCTTGTGTCTGCTGTAGTAGAAGAATCTGATCTTATAGAACTTGGGAAACTCGATCTACAGGCCAGGCAACAGCTGGAAATAGACATTGAGAGACTTCATTCGCGTCTGGAACACACCAGAGCCCAAAATAATGTTCTTACACTTTCTTTAGAGGAATGTAAAAGTCAAGCCGACAAGTAAGAATTTATTTGATAATGACAACTCTGTTTTGATTTGTTAATTAACTTTTTTTGTGACTTAAAATTGTTCTTTGTTTGTTGCTAGATTTTACCTGCTTGTCGGAAAGTATGAATCCAATGCCATTGCATTGAGACTTGCGTTAGGGTATGCTGATCGAGCAACTGCTGCATATGACTGTCTTGTAGCTCTTTTGGAGAGTGAATTAGCTCTGATTCTGAAAGGGGCAACTGCTGGGAAAGATGGCATTGAAGACAGACGTGCTGCAGAGCGAGCAGCTTGGAGTCTTCTTGAAGCTGAGCAATATGGACGACTATCAAAGTAAGAATTTTTAAACCTCCATTTAAATTTGAGAAAAATTCTAAATTATAATTTTGAAATAATTTTAATTTTAATTTTTAACCACAGAGAAGGTGATTGGGGCCCATGTGATGAACAGAGACTCAGGGAGCTCATATCTCGACTGAAAATGGATAGAAGCAAAGTTCGAGATACAATTGTTGAACTGGAGAGTGTCCATGCTGATGCCCTATGTACTCGTGTTCCTGTGTCTTTTGCAGAAGCAAGAAAATTAGATTTAGAAACAGCTGTTCTCATGCAGGTATGTTCTGTTCTTGTCCTGTCTTAACTAATTGCTAGTAGAAAGATTTTGCCTACTAAAATATTTTGTTTTTATTGTTGTGATAGGAACTTATGGCAATGAGAGAAGACAAAGCTGAATTGAGAGCGCGACTGTATCTATTAGAAAAAGAAAGGGCTGCCCTCGAGCTTCGTCTAAGCAGCCAGGACACTCAACGGCAAGCACAAGCAGCATCAATATTGCATTTGCAAGCACAATTACAAGAATTAGAAGTTGCAAATACTAAAGTATGAAACTGTGTCAAAATTATTTTATCTTCCTTGCATACTCCTGGAAAACTAATGTATTGATTTTCAGGATACATCCAACACACCTATTAATGAAGGTGAAGCCTTAAGTTTGGAATCAGCTGCAGCACTTAGACGTGAGAACCATCTTAAGGAGAGAATCCATGAACTTGTAGACACTTTGGATAAAGTTAGTCATACCTCTGAGCAGCGTCACCTTCAGTCAGCAGAATTAGTGAATGACCTAAAAAAAGCCAATAGGTGATAATTGAAAAGAGCAAAAATGCAAATGAGATCACATTGTACTATGATTATGACCTCAATCTTACTATTGTTTTTACCATTTTTTAGCACACTTGTCCAAACTCTCGAGAGATCAAAAAAGAAATATCAGTCTAGACTGAAAAAGTTAGAACAGCAGATGTTGTCTATGGTAGAACGCCATTCTTGCCAGGTTTGTCACATTAACTTATGATTCCAATGAAATTCTTTTCAAGTTCTTTGTAAAATATGAATCTGTTTCATGTCTTTCAGGTTCGCACTCTTAAGCAAAGAATCGCATCCCTCGAACAAGAAATAAGATCAAATGCTACACAATCTTCACCATCACTTCCTCAAACTACTCCGAGTGAAACAACCCTGTGATAAACAGTATCGATTATAGATTTATCCCTGCCAATCTTGTCTTTATGATATATTTCAGTCTGCTGAAAATGGCAGTACCTTTTTTTATCAATTTAAGGTATACTTATGAAAATCTCAGATTCTTGGATGTAGTTAGCATCTGCTCTAATACAAAGTTTATATTCTAAAGTTAAGTTTTAACAAAGTATTGACAAAGCTTCTCAAAGTTATATTAAGCTAATTTATGACATAATAATGTGTCAAGCTATTTTATGTACTTATAAACCAACAAGCAGGTGAGGAAATAGGTTGACCAAATAAATAGTATATAAAGCCTGTACAAGGTAAAACTTGACTTCCTTTAAAACATCCCATTTAACTTGTAGTTAGCGATAAATTTTTCAAGGAAATAAAAAATTATTGCATTCATTGGTTGATAAAAATTACACTATCGCAGAGATGTGGAAGTTACATTTTATTCCATTCGACCAGTGGATTTAGTTTTGTTGCTAGGCCTAAAACTGTGGTGCTGCTGTCAAAGAGAAAATCTGAGGTAGTCCATTTCAAATGAAAAGGGAAGAGAAGCTGGTTGCTCTAAAAGGGCAGTGCTAGCGCCTGGCAGTTATGCAATGGTGTGCAGCCGTCCAGGGTGGGTGGCCTACCCTACTCACCGCAGGGGTCTCGGCGCTAACGTCCCAATGTGGCCACATTAAAAGTCCCCGTTTGTAGCTACACGATTGTAGCTACAGCCGACAGTGCCCGAATCAGCTCAAACCGAACCGTCTATAGACGAATTCATTACTTCCGCCAATGCTAGAATATCAACCAGAAGTAAACTGCGCTAAGAACTAAAGCGAAAACGAAACATACCAATGCCTTTTGCCTTGCCCAACCGCTCGGAGGGACAGGGGGCCACGGGGGCCCGATTCAGGAAAGCATTGCCTGCCCTCTAGGCGTTTTCAGCGAGACACGGCGCCACTTCTTAGCTTTAGAAAGGATTTATGAGCCTGGGGCCAAAAGGAGCCTAAACCCAAAGTCCTCGTCACGAAAGACGCCTTAGATAGAAGCCGTGGCCTACCTCGCAGGCGTCCAAGCGACAACTCATGTCGCGGCGACAAGTGGTAGTAGACACGTCCCTGTTTATGGACACAAAAATGTGGTCACAATTGGGGCAACATACGACGTCCGACGCCACTAGCCACAGGCCCCTTTTGTAGTTAAACAGTTGTAGCTACAGACAGTCGACATGACCGCACGCAGCTTCATCCGAACCAAAATTTTCGGCCCTAAGATCAACTCCCGGGCGGGGCAAATTTTTTCTTTGTCGCTTTTTGTCTCCCGTTAGGCATGACCGAGCTTAGACCTCGGCCTCGCAGGAGCAAGCTGGTAGCCGAGCGTGTTAAAGCGTGGTCGTTGGCAGATCGTGCGGGTAGTCGCCAGTTCGAATCCCATCCGCGTTCATTTTTCCCTGCTCTGCTGGCCAAGTGTCTTCGGGCGTCGGTCACAGCTTAGATCAAGATGCCGCTGAAAGTAGTGCTTTGTATCGTCCCGTCGTGGCCAAGTCGGTAGCGTCCGGGCTCTGCATGATCCTGATCGCTGGTTCGAATCTCGGCCAGGTGATAATTTTCGCGCTCCGCTGGCCATGACTTTACAGCCGTGCGACACCTGATGTGGTGGGCCGGTACGCAAACAGTCGCTGGTTCGAATCTAGTCGACGGAACCCTTTTCCTTCTGCCAGCCATTTGTTTCGGGGCGAGAGCCACAGCGGAGATAAGCTTCACCTATGCAAAACCCTCATCATTGGCTCAGTTAGTAGAGCGCGCGCTCGGGACACGGATGGTTATCGGTTCGAATACTGTCCGTGGTTCATTTTTTCCTATTTAGTAGTTTGCAGCGCGGGGACCAAAGGTTAATACAAAAGACAAGCCGACATGGGAAGGAGGCCTTGACCACCTACTCAGCAGCACCCCCCCCCCCTGCCAAAAAACAACAAGAAAATGTGCGCCCGGACCAGTACTCGACCCCTGGGCTGAGGATGTCTTCTGCACCAAGCCCCAGCGCGCTCGCAACTCGGCTGTCGGCTCCGCTTGTCAACAGAAAGTGCAAACCTCGGTCACCTGCTTTACGAGTCATT